GCCGTTTGTACCGTTGGCCACCATTAGTGGTGTACACCCTATCACCGCGGTGAGGTGTACATGATAGGTTTCCTGGATGACACCTTACAAACCAACACAGTTGTGTGCAGAACCTTGTTTCCGGAAATGTTCACGTCTCGTTGCGTTAATACAGATGCAAAACTGCTGCCGCAATGAGGATCCGAACGCGAGTCCCACATTGTCGTGCCATACAGAACCCATCGTGCTATCCGCTACGCCATCTGATCCGCAAGCAATGGTCATGAAGGGAGCGCTGACAAAAACATCACTCTTGCGTCGGTGCATGCCAAGTGTGTTACCACATGATACTTACATTTTGACTTTAATCGAATCTATTTTGAGGACTAATTAGTGAACACCTCATAAACTATGCATGCTCGAAGTTACAAGCAGAAAGGAGCCCATTAAGGTTGTTAAATCCGCCCATTTTTGTCGAATTTTTTTCACTAAGTTTTTGACCTAACCAGAAGCGCATAGCAAAAATGAACCCCATTTTTGTGACCCTTGTATGGACCCCTACACCAAGCAACAAACCATTTCCAAAAAGCGCGTCATGACCTGAAACACCTCCCTTGTTAGCTCTCTCTCTCTCTCATCTCATGTATGCTCTACTGAGTTACATTCAATGCGATTAGTTCAGGCAGAGCTCCGATCATTAAATTCGTGTGCCATATCGTCTCTCACGTGTACTTCACCGTCCTTTTGACCGTCGTTGTGCTCAACATCACTCATAAAATGTGAGAATTATTCTCAAATTGTAAAGATACCGCTGCTAAGATAGGCGTTCAGGTACGAGGTTACCTCTGTGATTCCGAATCCTGTGGAATGGATGCTTTTACTATGGTTGAGCGGTAACTTGGTATCAGAGTTGTCAAACGTTGGCGGTGGCTCGGGCCTTGGAATAGTTAAGGTAACATTTCTAGTTTACATGTCGAATTCAAACAACGAAAAAAAGAAAGAAATAGAATAAAACCCTTCTAGGAATCACTAATCTTCACTAAACACTAATGTTTTATGCAACATCAAGGAGGAGGGAACTTTATCAATTCGCGTATAAGCTCGAAGAATGAAAAAAAAACACTAAGAAACTTACTTCAAAGGAAGATCTCACGCTTTTTGCTTATTTCTATCTTGCATCAAAAAAAGAGAAGAAAAGAGAGAGAAAAATAGAAAAGAAAAGCCATCATGTTCGGTCCACCTTTCCCCGAGTCAGAACAAGCTTTCATACCAAAGACAACTGCAATAAAAAGAAAGAAAAAACACGAACCTAAGCCAATTTCCCCTAGCAGCACTCGGAGCGATCCAAGTAATAGCGTCTGGGCGCGCTCTGAGGCGTACCGACGATCGTGTCAAACTTTCCAAGGATTTGACGTCGAGCGAGGATGGGGTCAACATTCTCGATCATCTGTCACAAATATTAATTTCGCCAAGACCGCCAACAACGGGTTGATGCATGTGCTGCGCTATACCAGGCCCATTACTCCCCATTGCTGAAGTTTCCTAAGGTACGACTTGCACTGCCTAAACTTCCTCATGCTCGAGACTGCGCAAAGTACGGTAAATGAAGGAAACAGATAGCACAAGTAGAAGGAGCGCTACGCTTCCACGGTTCCTCATCGGCAGACCTTTTGTTTGACAGGTCTTTTGCCCCAACTTTTATGAGCGATACTTGACCTCTGGAATAGGTAGTTTTTCAGGAGGTGACTTTTCCACTGAGCAAGGAAGTTAACGATTTATCTGAGTCAAAGTTGGTAAGGCCGTGTTCATACTTCGCTAGCTTAGCGATTCAGTCGCAAGTTTTGAAAATCGCAAAACTGCAATCGATGGCGTTTCAATCGTTGTTCAATCGTTGGACTGCTATAATGGCTTAGTCGAGCACACCAGAACAGGACTTTGTCAAAACATCGCAGCTTTCCAACGATTGGTGGTCGAACACGTTACATCGCATTTGCGCGAGTGAATCAATCGATTAGCGAAGTATGACCGTGGTCCATATCAAAAGAGTAATAACTCACAGAGCGGGGTCAATGAGCCTTATTTCAATGACTTCACACTGACATAAATCTTCTTACTGCTCCTTTTTGTGCAATAATATGAGGAAAAGTAAATGGCAGCGATCTGAAGTGAACTAGGATAGTAAGTAGGGAAAATTCTTGCATATTGACATCACAGGCGCTGTTAGGCACGGGCAGGGGCATTTTGCTTCCCATCATCATGTGTCAACCCATCTAGGTAGTCTTTTCTTGAGTTGACACGTTTTAACATGGTGGCTGGAGTATTACTATGCTAAATAGAAGTAGAACAACAGTAAGCTGTTCATTCCATATAGATATATGGATGACTTGCTTGTTGTACATAACCAAACTGATGGTGAAGTGGATGAACAACTTTCTCAAGTTTATCAAAATACGCTACAATTGAAAAAAAAACTCATAAAAGGGAAGTTTCCAGCAATTATTTAGATTTAGCAATCAATATTACTAACGGTAAAATTAATACCAAGCTGTATAATAAAACGGATGATTTTAGCTTCAATGTTATTAGATTTCCCCACAGTGACACAAACATTTCCCTTATTAACAAATCCTCTGTTATATATACGGAAACGTTGAGGTTAGCAAACACTTGTTCTTTCTTCAATGTTTTCGTAAGCAAAATAACGGATATGGTCACTACTCTTTCGAAAAATGGCTACGAAGAAGAATTTATTATTACTAGCATTGTGAAATGTATTTACAAAAAATAAATTTATAGGTTACAAATACTCTATTGCAAATAACTATAAAAAGATGAGTAGACTGGTTAGAGGTGTTCTCATTGGCAGCGGTGTTCAACACTAGCTCTCATTTTACCACAAAATTTTTGATTTAACCTTTTTAATCCGCTGCGACAGTGTCTTTTACTCATTATTACCTTAGTTTGTTTAGCCCATCTACAACAATCCATTTTTCTTCCTCTTACACCAATCTTGTACTCACACCGGTTATATCCTTCTTTCATTTACCTTGCACAGTTCCTTCTTATCTTTATTGCATGGATTTTGCATGTCAACTTTTTTTGCATTTTTTCTCGCTATATCCTTTTCTTAACTCCTTCCCCTAATTAGTCCATGTCCATGTCTCAACTCTATCGCACTGAGGAGCCCGGGGGGTTGGTAAGACATCGATGATCCGTCTACGATAACGGGCGAAACGGATCATCTGTGATGTTGAGTGTATTCCTTTCCCCAATATTTGTTTTTCTTTGTTTCTAATTAGACGAGTGCTCCAGCTTCACAAGGGTTCACAACTTTCACCAGAATGGGACTTGTAAACCGGAAGCAGTGAAGCAGTTAAAGTTCAAATGCCCCCCCTCCGCTTCGTTGCCGAATTGCGCCGACATTTCATTATAATCACTGAACTCATTCAAAAGCAGAGGGAAAAACGTCTAAAACTCTGTGTTATTAACCGTTCAAAATAATCTGTACACATTTTGTCAGGTTCTGATACTGGTATTGTCGGCGGCTGCCATAGCTGTGCATGTACTCGCATTTCTCCTTCCCGCCGTTGTCATGACCCATCTTGACAACGACGAAAAGCTTCATTTCGCCAGAACTATGCTCTACCTCAAGGTATTTCTCTCCCAAGATTCGTCAATCAAGCCTGAGTGCAGAGTTTCAGAATCAGCTATTTGCCTTTGCTCTGCTGTTTGCTTTCGTTGAATTCCTCGACTTCCTTACAGTACACCACTTATTTGGACCATGGGCTATAATTATCAGGTAATTTTACTGGATATATCACCTAATCTCCAATAGTTGATCTAGTCTGATCCGATAGTTAATCTCGAATAGAAATCAGTCGGGAGGGGCGTGATGAGCCCGCTTCCGGCTGCCTTGATCTATGCTCTATGGTTACGTGACAAGATTTTTTTCGTGATTGCCCCGGCGCGGAAACCCAGAGCTCAGAGAAACGGAGTGTTGTGTTTGCGAAAGCACGAAAAGGTACAGAAAGCATACCTTGAGCCAATGCTTAAGCTTTACCTGGGGAAGTGAATTCTGTGGTAGATGAGCCTCTTATCAAGCATAAAAGTTTGGATGTGTAAATTACTTTGGTCAAAATACACCATGTAGGCGTGAGGCCGCAGAGAAAAGCAGAAAGTCGGAATGGCGTCCTTTCGCATGCGTCCGCTATGAGCAGCCCGTGGTCTCATATTGTCTCTCGAGGACCACTCTTTTTGCCGCCACGTCAAGTTCAGCAAATTGATCAAACGATTTTGCGGGGAGGTCTATTACTACCATCCTTGACCATCTCGAGCCCCCACTCCCTCGGTCACGCCCACTTTTCATCGCGAACGTGATTTTTCAAGCTTCATGCTATAACTGCTTCTCCGATTTTTTTTTGCTTTTTGCTCTTTCACTTTCATACAGTGATTCATAGGCAGCCACACCACCACACTTTTTTTTGGGATGGGCGCTAGTTAGAATTCTGCCAAGGCCGAGCCCAGGAGGGTATGACTTCTTTTCCTACGCTCAGCCTTGATGGAGCACAAACAGCCAGAAGCCTTTACTAAGCTGGCGCCAAAAATGAGCACTATTTTCGGCACTACTTACTCTTCACTGCCCCAATCGTCCATAATTAAGCCAGTTTTTGACCGACTTTTTTCTCCGTGAACAGATTTGGCTCAAATGTTGTCTGCTGGGGTAGTTTGACCTCCTAAATACGATATCACATTCGCTCAGCCCGAAACTTCCTGGCGTCTGCGGCACAGGCGCCGGTGATTTTGGGGTGTATTGGCGCAAGCGTCTGTAGCGCGGGCGCCAGGAGGTTTTGGGCCGGGCGGACGTAACATTCGTGTTTAGGAGGTCAGATTACCCCTAGGAACAAGTTTTCAGCGAATTTCGTTATTCAGGGTAGTGGCGCCAGCGCTTGTGGCGCGGGCGCCAGGAGGTTTAGGGTCAAGCGGATGAGATATTCATGTTCAGGAGGTCAGATTACCACTGGGAGCATATTTTTAACCAATTCTGTCGCATTAGAAAAAAGTCGGTCAAAAACTGGCCTGTTTTCGGAAGATTGGGGCAGTAAAGGGTAAATAGTGCCTTATTTTCTTACCAGGAAAGGTCAACAGGTCAGCTCGGCCATTTCCATGAGGTCACACCGAGTTGTACGAGTCCTTGGGACGGGTGAACTCGAATCTACCTTCAGATTTGCGGAACGACTCTCTGAATGGAGTTAGCGAGGGTTTTATCCCGTGTGGCTGTTTCACATGCTATCGCGAGGAGACGTGGAAGCGTCTTTACGTATACATATGGAGTCCACTGGAAACGTGGCGGTGGAGTGCAGCGGATAGCGAGTTTGTTTACTAGGCGAGATGGTGCAGGATCGGTTCTCGGCAGGGCGTTTGTTTTTGCATTTGTCCAAGAACATGGCCGACAAAACTTGTAACACCTCTGCTCACCTGCACTATCCTGTAAGGAAACTGCGACCAGTTTTTTTACGAAAATGTAGACCCATTGTGGCCTGGAAGAGAGCTTGTGCTTGCCCCCCCCTGTAGTACATGTCGCAAGGGTTTTTGCAATATAATACCATGATAATCGTGTTCAGCGGGTCAAATTACCTCTGGGAACAAGTTCCTAGCCGAATCTGATATTTCGACGTCACTTGGAAAATGTGAGTTATTCCATGGGTAATAAGCGGCAGTTACGAGCTCACCTACCATCGATGACTGGTCTCGGGATGAAATTCCTAACGGTAATCAGAAAAATGATGCAGACGGCACAAATAAGTAAGCCAGGTACTGTTGTTTACGAAAAGACATGACTTAAGAGTTATTCCAGTTCGAAGACCAGTCATCACCAGTGTGCTAGTCGCAGTATGGCTTTTGGATATCAGTAGCCATGACTATCCATACCCCATTTTTTCGAAGTTGAGTCAGAAACTCAGATTTCGCTGAAATGACGTCTCTAGGGGTTATTTGACCCCCTGAACACAAATATGACACCTATTTTGCGCGAAGAGCGCTGCGAGTCGCACTACAGGTGCCAACGCTTCGGCGCCAGCGCTCCTGGAAGAAGAAAAACAGTAAAGAAAAACCTCTATAACTCCGCTCAGAGAATCGTCCGCAAATTCTGCAGATAGCTTCGAGTTCACCGTGTCAAGACGAGTACAACGATGTGCATCTCATTGTATATGGCTGGGCTGACCTGTTGATCTTTCCTGGTTAGCAGAGTGTCAAACATGCACAATGCTCACGTTTACGTCGTGTTTCGCTAGGAAAAGTTGTGGCGTCAAGATGGCGCCCAGTGGCGCCACATAGCACCAGCACTAAAAAGGAAGCAGTTTCCCGTGATGAGGATGACAAATAAATAAGGTATAGAGGTTTATATAGAATTCAGGACCATAAAAACTAGTGGCGCCTTTTGGCGCCATATGGCGCCAGCCCTACAAAAGATTAAAGTGTCTGCAATAATATTCCAAGTAACACAGGTGTACATAGCTGTGTTTCGGTGCCAAAAAACTGTTGGCAGAGAGGGCGCATATTGACGCCATCTCGCGCCAATAGCAAATAGACATTGACATTCGTGATCGGAGCCCGAGAAGTCCCCACACTCAAGGTCATCAAAAAATGACTTGTTCCCGAGGTACTGACATAGCTATAGCTAGGTGAGAAAAATCCGATTCTCAATTCAAAATATTTCACGAAGCCGGCGACATTTCTCCCGCTCATCCCGTAGGAGTTCACCATGCGCGAGTCATTAGCATACAAGAAATGGTCGACAGAACCTGACAGCAATAAACTTGAAAGTAGTGCAAAAGGTATGAGCCACAGGTGGCTCATAATGTCGTCAGCGTGTTAAAGGATTCTAGTTCCAGTTATCCGTAGACCTTGCTGCACCAATCTTGACCGCTGATCGATTTAGCAGGGAACTATCACTGCTGTGAATGCAGTGATTGGGCTTATTCAGCCCCTTTTAAAACAGCACCGTCTGATGACGGTGATATGAAGCGTGATATGAAACTTTGCAGGGACCTTATGTACGACTTGGCTCGTTTTCTTGTCATTTTGCTCCTATTCGTTGCGGGATTCACATTACATGTCACATCAATCTTTCAGGTAATTCAGGGCGATTCAGCATTCAAGGTAGTGGGTACCGCTGACAGGGATAGAGACAGCGATTACGTTCATTTAGTGGTCGGTCGAACATGAGTGCCATAAAGGGAGCACAGAAACAGAAACAGCGAGTAGTCAGGTCCTCAACCTTATCATTGATTTTAGGCAGTTAACGAGTTAGTTTCCTTCATGAAAACCACCTTACTAGCAGCGTAAGCGCCAGAGCACAGATGAATGGTCACTGGCATACAGGATATTTTGGGACGGGGCAACAGTGCAAGGTGGGACTACAGTTTTGTAGGGCCCTGTTGGTCGCTTGGAGTGCGTCTCTCGCTGTAAACCATAAACTATCCAATCCCTTTTCTCACAGAGTATACATTCTCCTAGGCCTAGGCGTATTGTTGCACTCACTGCCTTGAAATAAGATTTAGTTGTTAGCGGATGGGTCTATTCGTTTTAATTCAACCTGATTCCTTACAGCCTGCTTATCAACCACTCGACGAGGACAGTGCAGAGTTAATGCGTCTTGCATCTCCTGAACAAACGCTTGAGATGTTGTTCTTTTCGTTGTTTGGGTAAGTGGAACAACATGATTCAATTGCTTGCACGAATTCTCTGTTATGCAGCGACAACGGTTGGCGATTAAAGACACAGTTCGCGACCGCAAATTGCGGGAAGCGTAAATCAAATAGGCACAAAAAAGTGCTAAGTATCTGATTAGCGGAGAAAAGCAGAAAAAGCAGTCCGAAATGTTGCAGAGAAAGATAACATAGTGGCTACTAGCAAGTAGCTAGCAGCTGGTGAGGGTCGGCATGGGCCTAAGGGGTGTCCATAGGCCTAATTAGTCAGCTTTCAGCTGAGTTCTTGCCGTTTTTAACATGTTGAAAGTAGCGCAGCCTCAAAAACGCCTTCCGGATCGTCCGACACATTTGAGAGGTCATAGCTTTATTTTATCGCGGAATGTGCCTTTAAAGACAGTCCCCGTGCTCGAGCAACTCGTGGGCCTCCTTCCTTGTAAAAGTACTCAGGCCCCCGGTCTCTAGGGTTATCCCGCTTTCGCAGCTCAGTGACGAAGGCGCTGTAGCCCTGAAGTGGCATCTCTGACTCCTTCCTAACTAACTGTCCCTCGAACCGAAGCTCGAAAGCCATTTTGTGTCACAAGTTCGGTTTCACCCCACGTTTTCCATTTCCTATTTCTTTGTTAGATGGTATTAGCATTGGATGACGCGAAGAGATGATCAGTGAGCCGAAGGTAGCAGGATATTGCTTCACCTTCATAAAGCGAGCGGGTCCGGAGAACTCGTCCAGAAATGCCACTAAAACTTTACTTGGGGTGTTCTCCATAGTTTGTTTTCGCTTTTTTTCTCCACTCGATACGACCACAGATAAGCTACTACAGATTTGTAACTGAGGGTCATTATTCGTATAATACAATCGCGGGGATTGTATTCAAACGTTAGTTCTCGGCCAGATGTTGGTTTATGTCCGCAGAAGGGGTGAATATGATCTTGCTTTCTTACATGACCGTTCTAAGTCGTTCATAACTCTGTATCGCTTTTCTTATCCACTACGACCCCTCTCCCCCTCCCTCATCAATCGGTCATCTTGCCATGTGTTCGCGAAAATTATAGACCAACAAAAAAAAGGGGGGGGGAATGGATGAGGAAGATCGACAAGACAGTTGTCAAATGTCGCGGTATGTCGTTCGGCGATACCTTTAACAATTAAAGTTAACCTTCGATTCAGTTCAAGTAGTACAACAACTCGTATGTCGGGTACGGCGTCCCTCGCCAAACAGCGCGGCAGATTACGGTTGTTCCAGGGCACATCATTAGTTGGCGATTTTGTTCGAGTCTGTACGACCCCCATTTTTAAGAAGGTTGGTACGACCCCCCCCCCGGGGCTCCCTCCTCATCGGGCCGTCGAGCGGTAGAGAGGAATACAACCCCCCCCCCTCTACCATTTCTTTCTTGGACTTTCCCCTGCCCCAACATCCTCCCACTTTTCCCGGGTTTTGCTGGAAATTTTCCTACTTTTACCCAAAAGTACTGCTGTCGAGCGCGGGGGGGGGCGCGTATATAGTACACGTGAAACAAAAACCCATGAAAAGTAGCTCTCACTAACTCAGAAAGGCAGAAAGGAAATACGACCCGTCTCTCCCCACAGCGAGCAAACAGGCTCCCACTTTACAACATCCCTGGAACAAGAAAAATCAACTTTCAAAAAATCTTTCCTCAGCCCAAATACGACCCCTCCCCCTCTCGCACCGACCAAATACGTCCCCCTTGTTTAGGAATTCCCACAACGATGACGAGGTGCCCTTGGTTGTCCTGCGATCAACTTGTCAGAGAGAGTAACGCTTTAAAAACACATGGTAGGCTCAAACACATTGAGGGTGTATGAGACTATCAACCCCCAGCTGTCGATGGGTCGTGGTCCCCCCCCCCGCCCAAAACAGAGTTCGGGGCCGTGGGAAAGTCGTAATTCCTTGCTACACCGTCCTCACGTTTATGCCAACAGGATCCGCGCGGCGCGGTCGCGTGCAGCTCTCTTGGCTTTTTGCCAAAGTCCCTGTAACTTGCCGCTTTTGGAAGTTACAAGTACAACGTCAATTTCTTTATGCGGATAACATTTTAGGTGCTGCAAAATAAGACCGAAGATGATGACAAGGGCAAGAACTCAAGAGCAACTGTGGTGCTTCTGAATACCCCTCAGAGGCCGCGCATTCCCTCAGAACATAACAATAAAAACGGACAACATGACAATAAAACGACACTACAAGCGAAACGCAATTTCCTAACATTTGAGGTATTGCTCATGCTTCAAAGTCCGAATAGAAGGTGATGAAGATGACAAAGGCTAGAAATGAACAACAACGAATGTAGATGTGAATAAAACAAAATTGAAAAAACTAAGGAAACGCAATAAATTAAAATCGCGCGTGCATTTCTGCGATCCGGCTCGCATCCGGCTCTAATGCTACCATGTGTCTTTAATGCACTGATGGTTAACAGCATATATAGTGCCCATGAAACAGGAAAAGCTAATAATCAGAGAAGAACCCTCGAGACGAATACGATAAAAACCCCCTTCATAGGCCAGAAACGACACTCCCCACCCCCAGCTACAGAAGGTGATCCTCACACCTCTTTTCTCGTTTCAATACAACAAGAGCTGACATAGTTACACTGTACGGTTGATTTGATCTCACGTTTTTTTCACAGTAGGAAATCCTGGTTGTAAAAGTTCTTGGACAGCTCTTAATGGTTCCTAGCCGTAGATCTCGGGGGAGTGTTATTATCACGGTCTGGTCTGTTCGGAGGAATTCGTTAGGAAACCATCCTTTGTGGATACATCGGGGTAGGATTGAAAAAACTACTTTGGCTGAAATGAAGCAAGGGCCTGACCTACTGCTGTAGGTCGCCCTTGGACGGCTGGTTAATTCCAATATCATATAGTTTCGAAATTATAGTCCCCAAAGCGAATATTTCAGACTTGTCGAGCCGGACAGCATGCCTCCTCTTCATCTAGTGCCTGATTTTGCTAAAATTATTCTTAAACTTCTGTTTGGTATTTACATGATGGTCACACTTATTGTAAGTTCATCGCTTTTCAGTTGTTTTCCGATCGAGAAGTCAAGAAAAATCATAATCATGTTTGAGTTCCAAGCTAGTTTCGTTCTCAATTCACGCAAAAAGCCGTGTAGAACATTAGCAGAGCTATATCTCAACGTTGGGCTTCACACTGGGACTACCGGTTGGATGTCGCTGCCACTAGTATATGCTATCTACAAAGCGGCCATTCAGAATGGTGTGAAATAGGGTGTGGGAATGACTGTTATCAGAGGTTGATCGCAACTCTTCTTCCAACTAACCAATTAAAATTTTGCTATATTAACTACATTGCGGGAGACGGGCAGGAGAATCTTAAAATGCCGCCTCGTCGCGCGCGGCAATGAGTGCGACGTCTCCTCAATTTGCACTACGCTTTTGATTGGAGCATTGGATTTCATGAAGACAAGGACATGGTGGGCACTGATGTATATTTTTTGGTCATACATTGTCTGTCTTCGACCAGTACCACCTAAAATTAGCGGGCGAGGAGCGACGTCGCACGCGACGGCCAGTGGCGCGGCGAATTACGATTCTCTTGAAACATACCCACGTTGCGGTCCTAGTCAATGAAGTCAGTCTAAGAGTGGGTCTTAACGCGGCGCCAGCCCGCATCGTTCGGCTATGGACGTTCAATAGGGGCGGAGACCGACGCCACGCTCAAAGCCACATCTCAATTGACTTCGTCGCTAGTAACTGTACAGGCACAGTCTTTTACGTTCCTCAAGATCACACAGTATGTGTGATAAAAACAAGCGATTTTCAGTCTCCCAGGGTAACTCTGCAAGGTAGGCGGGTGGAGAAGGAATGACAGAGGAAGTCTGTCATGCGCCGTATTAGATTGATGCATATGTTTCTGGCCCTCTGTTATGATCCTTCCCATCACGTGTGCGTGACGTGTACATGATACTCTTTCATCACACTAGCTATCACTCACCCACTTTGCATTTGCAGGCCACAGTGCCGCACAGTTACCACCCGCACAATGTGAAATCATGTCACAGTGGTGATTGTGCGGCACTATGGCCTTCTTCAGGTCCCAGCCCCGTCCTTCTGGGAGGATGGAATCGACAAGCTGCCTCAGCGTTGGCGTCAAGTAGTGGATGGTGATGGTGATACCTCTAATCTTCAGGCTGGTTCGCTATTGAGATATTTACAAAAAAGTCGGGGAGAAAAACATATGCATCAACCTAATACAAATATTCGGGAAAGTTGGGATGGAAATGAAGCTCTACTTGTAGAAATGAGTAGCAACCGGCGATCCCAATTACTTCTATGCTTTTTTCCGGAGAAAGAGGCCTTATCCCAGGTCGGTCTAGGACCTCGCTCTGCATTATGTCTGAACGAACTTGTGCCATTTGCAAGGTTGGAAACCCGCGAAAAATTTCCCGCGTTGATTTTGGGACTGTTGTTTAGATGGTACTTTTTGAGAAGGAATGAAATTTAGTGAAAACCCAGTAGGCTATGTAGGCTCCAAATTTGACAACACACGACACACCGCAAAAATAGGAAAACTACCTCGACAGCTGATCCGGGGATCAAATGGACACCTTCCTCCAATGGGCTCCACCAGCAATGTTCCGCGACGTAATGGTTGACTCTCGTGGTAGGTTAGACTGCGTTTATACTTTGCGGCAGCGTAGCGTAGCGTAGCGCTTCCAGCGTACGCCAGCGGCAGTGTCGGGGAAAGGATAGATATGGATCTAGCGTTCCCAGCGTCACCAGCGTACGCTAGCGTAGCGAGGGCACGGGAGCATAGGTATCGATCTAGCTTCACCAGCGTTTCTCCAGCGTTTTCTCAGCGCTTGCAGCGACGGGGTTAAAGAGGGGCTAGAGAGAATAGAAGGGAGGAGAGTATTTTGTTCTCTCCTACTTTCAATACTCTCTAGCCCCGCTAGCGCTTGCAGCGACGGGGCTAGAGAGGGGCTGGAGAGTATTAAATGTAGGAGAGTACAAAATACTCTCCTGCCTTCAATACTCTCTAGCCCCTCTCTAGCCCCGTCGCTGCAAGCGCTGGGAAAACGCTGGAGAAACGCTGGTGAAGCTAGATCGATAGCTATGCTTCCCGTGCCCTCGCTACGCTAGCGTACGCTGGTGACGCTGGGAACGCTAGATCGATATCTATCCTTTCCCCGACCCTGCCGCTGGTGTACGCTGGAAGCGCTACCTACGCTACGCTGCCGCAAAGTATAAAAGCAGCCTTATCGCTTTTGCTGCGTTAAAGCAATCCAATCGTACAACCACGCGAAAACTCAAGTCACTCTTGACAATCAACTACGCTCCACTGTTCACTGGAACGCTGCAATGGCTATACGAGCAAATCTCATCGGCATTCCGAAAAATGGTACTCGAATAGCGCTGAGTTTCGTAATTCGAAATCAAACGTAACAAGTCCCCTTGCTGACGCTCGGATTTTTCGCGATCGGTGAAGGATTAACAAGAATCAAGGAGTAAGCAATTTCTTACGGATTTCTTACAATTCCTTCGCCTACTTATCTACATGGATACTTGTCGGCATCCACGAAAGCGCAAAATCTGCCTGCATTCATGAAGATCATTTAGGTGCTCATAAACTTATTGATTGCCATGATGTCAGATACATATCAAAGAATTCAAGCTCAATCCGATAAGGTTGGTCAAAAAGGACATCTCGTGGAATACCATAAAAACCATTAAATTTTCTATTAAGGAGTGGAAATTTGGTCGTGCAATACTAATTCGACAAATGAACAAAAGAAGCGCCACTCCATCCCCAATCAACATGCTCACTAAACTTTTCGTGGTTTTAAAAGTAGCGTTTCGGAATCGCTGTGAGTCCACGAACTCTAGCTTCTGTCAAGATTTCGACATACGATGCCTTGCTCTTCTTGGTATTTTGGAATTTCAGTGCGGGTATGTACTCAAAAAGCTCAGCAGGACTTGCGGTTCGAGGAGAATATCGATGCGTTCTCAATGGGTGGCGGTCATCAGGGGAGAACAAGTCCCACCATGAGAGAGGATGGGACAGGTATGTCACATCAGCCTTTCATGATATGTTACCTGCCAAATATCACTGCCAAGTTACTCCTCGACAGTATGGCTCCTAATGGCTTCTACTGCTTATTGATCTTATTCCACAACTTCGACATCCTCTCGCCTCCTACGCTCCACATAAAGCACACCAAACTCAATATGAAAGCATGTCCGTGGCAAACATTCCTGTATTATTAGACCAGCTTGAACGTATGGGTATCCTCGTGAAGAAACGGTGGGAATCGCACTCCCCGCTTGTTAAATGCTTATTAGTGCCCAGGATGAATGATGGGTTGGTCCATAAGTGTAGCGTCTTTTCTTAAAGCTAGATAAATTTGTGCTTGGTTTCCTATGCTTCCTTGACTGTTGTCGATCCTCAAGTCATTGGAGAGGTGTCGTGTCAAGACAAGACCTTTGCTGACACCACCTTTTTGCACTTAAAGGCACATGGTACGCTCAAACACATTGAGGGTGTATGAGACTATCAACCCCCAGCTGTCGATGGGTCGTTTCCCCCCCCCCGCTCAAAACTGCACGGGGTCAGAGTACGGGGCCGTAAGAAAGTCGTAATTCCTTGCTACGCCGCCCTCACGTTTATGCTAACACCATCCGCGCGGCTCGGTCGCGTGCAGCTCTCTTGGCTTTTTCAGTCCTGTAATTGCGCTTTGCAATACAAGTAAACGCAATTTCTTTATGCGGATAACACTGCTGCAAAATAAGAACCGAAGATGATGACAAGGGCTAGAACTCAAGAGCAACTGTGGTGCTTCTGCAATATCCCTCAGAGGCCGCGCATTCCCACAGAACATAACAATAAAAACGGACAACATGACAATAAAACGACACTACAAGCGAAACGCAATTTCCTAACATTTGAGGTATTGCTCATGCTTCAAAGTCCGAATAGAAGGTGATGAAGATGACAAAGGCTAGAAATTAACAACAACGAATGTGGATGTAATAAAACAAAATTGAAAAAACTGAGGAAACGCAATAAATTAAAATCGCGTGTGCATTTCTGCGATCCGGTTCGAATCCGGCTCTAATGCTATAGAAATACTTCAAACTAACGAGTGGGACGCTTAGGCCGTTTTTATTTTGATGTTTCGTGGGAATGCGCGGCCTGCGAGGGCTGTTGCAGAAGCAGCACAATTGCTCTTGAGTTCTAGCCCTCGTCATCATCTTCAGTTCTTATTTCGCGAATCTAAAATGTTATCCGCATAAAGAAATTGTGTTGTACTTGTATTAAAAAGCGCAATTACAGGACTTGGCAAAAAGCCAACAGAGCTGCACGCGACCGCGCCGCGCGAACGGTGCTAGCAAAAACGTGAGTTTGCACAAACGGGCGGCGTAGCAAGGAATGACGTCTTTCCCACGGCCCCTACTCTGACCTCATGCAGTTTTGGGCGGGCGGACCACGACACATCGACAGCTGGGGGGCTGACAGTCTCATACACCCTCAATGTATTTGAGCGTACCATGTGTCTTTAATCTGAGCTCTCAAACTGCAGAAGCAGCCCAAAACTTGTGATGTGCATGACCAAAAAACTATGCTTTTCAGGACATTTTCAAACTGGTTCTCGATTGAGAGACGGAAATTTGGAACCTGTAAATGTAGCTTCGTACGGGGTGCCCACTTGGGGAACAACTGCCCGTAAGACCCAACCGGTCTTCAAGCTTCTGTCTTCAGCGAAAACTGACGCTCACTCAAAGTGTTGAACCACTCGTGGAATTAATACGCCTGGCAGAACAGAATTCGGCGCTCCTGAACGCTGCATGGCTTCCTTCCCGAGGAAGGTACCCTTATAGCGCCCTGTCACGTTGCACCATACCAACCGGGATGCCCAACCGCCCACAAATGTCCGACCAATGCTGGTGCTCGCATGGCTTCATTTGCGAAATGTAATATGAAGCGAAAGAATTGGTTTCAAAAGGCTGCGGCGTCGCATGGATATATGAGTATACAGATGCAGCCATATCTACCGTAACGGTGATTCGCACGAAGCCAAAGCGAAACTAGTGCGAAATCGCTTCTGATTATGAGTGGTTCAGAACAGAGGCCTTTATTGCAGGTTTTGACCGTCTCACTTCCTTTTTCGTCATTTTTCCCACTATATAGCCCAACTCCCCCCCCCCCCAACCCACCGTTTTAGACTTTCAGTGTCTCATTGGATGCAACAACTTCAAGCGCTTGAAAATTAACGAAAATCAAATCTGCAAGCAAAAAAAAACAAACTACCAAAATCTAAAGAACTCAGCGGTGGGCCTTTTTGCGAGCCCACCCAATAGAAAAATTGGGGTATCTTGAAATGCGACTGCGTGCTCACAGAAAACCGGGGCGATTATATAGTTTCGAACAACAACACCACAATCGCTAGCAGAGCATCAAGGGCTACGAAGGCCCCAACACGTACGAGTTGTTATTAGGTTGTCCGGAAAGTTCTCAGTGTTTTGAGTGTTTCACTTTGAACGATCATAATCTTCTTAAGGTTTGATCGAAATAAGCACCGTTCGAAACAGCACACTTTTGCCAATGTGAAACCAGTCAACAAATACCATCAAAGAAAAAACTGGGTCTTCGAGAATCCACGAAATCCACGGAGACTTTTTTAGCCTGGTCCTGATTGATGAAGTAAATATTTTCCAGCAAGGAAGTTGTGAAATTGTTTGAAAAGGTGATAGTCGGTTGGTGAAAGGTCTGGAGAATATGGCGGGTGAGGTAGAATTTCAACCCCCAATTCTTTCAATTTATGGATAGTGATTTGTGAAACGTGTGTGCGGGGCTGACAAAATCCTCGGTACATTTCGTCGATTCCTTCACAGTAGCGTTCTGCTGTGATGGTTTGGCCTGGTTATAAAAAGCAATAATGGATCACACCAGCCGATGACCACCACATTGTGACCATAATCTTTTTTTTTCGTGAGGATTCGGCTTTGGAAATTGCCTCGGGTCGTCGGCATCCAACCACTGTCCGGAACGTCTCCTGTTATCATACATGATCTCCTTTTCATCACATGTGACCATTCGGTCCAAAAGCGGGTCGTTTCTGTTTTGCAAAAGCAGTGAAGAAGAAACCTCGAGACGTGCCAATTTCTGCAGGTCACTCAAAAAATGTGGAGCACCCACTTGTCGATTTTTCACTTCCCATTGCGTTTCAGACCATCCGCAACAGTGATTTCCAACCCTACCTTTTATGCAATCTCTCGAACTGTTTGGGATGGGTTAGCCTCCACAAACGCCTTGAAATCCTCGTCAGGTATTGCTTTAGGTCGACCGCTACGAGTTCATCTTCAAGGTTGAAATCTCCAGAACGGAACTTGCACGGTGCTCCCAACACTACTGGGCCTAAACATCTGGTTAATTTGTCGAGATGTCTCGACTGCAGATTGACCGACTTTGCAGTTGAAGAAGAATATCATCCGAAGTTGCTCTTTTGGCATGCTTCAAAAAGTCTTGAGAAAAAAGGGTTAATCAAGCAATGGTGAAGCGGCAATTACACCATCAGATAGCGTAAAAAATAGCGTAAAAAATTCTCTTCAGGATGTACTACTGAGACGCAAGGAAGAATGAGGTTTTAATCAGCAATGAATGTACGAAAAATAGTAACACAAAACGCTGAGAAGTTTTCGGACAACCTAATATCTCGGTAGAGCCGTATCGCTCGCCTCCTCGGCCAAACGACACGCCCAGGAACTAGCGAAGACAGTTCGACGAGGGAGGGTGTATTTTGCACTTCCGCTACTTCCCATCGACGTGTCGTGCTATCTAGAGAGCTCGTTCATAGGCACACAAGAGTTGATAGTTTTACCGACAAGAGTTCACAGGTTTTACCAGAAACTTATCAATTGGAACCAATGAAGCAGCGAAGGTACAAAAACTCCCTTCTGACTCTCCCATTACTGAACAGCGCTGCGAAGACATAGGTTGATAAAGATTGTGGTACATTTGCTGTTGGGTGTTTTATAGCATCATTTCAAGGCTTGGTGGAGACATGGGAGTAAGTTTTCAAAGAAGGGAAAAACTGCTAGAAAATCTTCTACACATTCGCTTTACTGTTCTAGTGATGCTAACGTGCCTCCTCCACTCAAATACTCCATCAAGCATTCAAACCATCAAACGCCTTGACCACGTCTTCTTTCTGTCCGATATGAATCTCAAAGCCGACCTGGCGCACCCCTCACTGCTCGCAAAGTCAAATGAAAAGGATAAAGTCTTAGCCGTTTATCAAATCTTTGTGGGATGCGGGACGCATTCTTCTCCCATTCAGAATTGTAGTGGCTTATTGAATACCAGTCTGGCTGACGCGCACTACTGCGCGCATGGTTAAACCCATGGTACTACGATAACTGACACGATTTGTCCTGAGCACCAACACCTAGCCTAATTCTCATGTTTCGAGTAATGGTCATCCTGCACTACTGTCTTGCCTCTTGAAACCGATGTCCCGTTGTGCTGTTCGACGTTGTGAGTTAGGTGTCCTATCCTTCTAAGGCCCCTTATGGTATCTTATCAGCTGTTATCAGTTCCTGCAACCACACAATAATGTTACCCATCACTGCCCCCTACTTTACTTGCCTGGAACCAAGGTCTCATCGTTGCTGTGGCCCGCGCTATGTATTTGGTGATCCTCCTCTATAAGGCTGCTCCGCGGTATCTTATCAGCTTCTTAATACTTCCTGCCACCTCCCAATAAATGTTCCCATCCTGCCCCCTACCTTACTACTTGTATCCAACGTCCGGTCATTGCTCTGGCCGGTGTTATGAATTAGGTAACCGCACTCTCTTTATGTTCCTCTTGTATCTTATCAGCGGTTATCAGTTCGCTGCCACCTACACAATAATGTTCCCATCCTGCCGCTTACTATCTTACTTGTATCCAACGTCCGGTCATTGCTCTGGCCGGTGTTATGAATTAGGTAACACCACTCTTCCTGAGGCTATTTATGGTATCTTATCATGCTGTTATCGATTCCTGCCACCACCTGCACTAATGTTCGCCATCCTGCCCCCTCCTTACTTCCTGGAACCAAAGGTCTTATCGTTGCTATGGCCCGCGCGCTATGAATTTGGTGATCCCTCCGCTATGAGGCTGCTCGCGGTATCTTATCAGCTCTTACACTTCCTGCCACCCACACAATAGTGTTCCTGCACGACCCCCTAACATGACTTTATCAGTTTGAGCGGCTCTGTCACTCCTTTGAAAGAAGTTATGAATTTCCGGTCAAACACACATACATACAACACACACACACCACACAGAGCAACTTAGCGGATTATATAAGTAGGTCAATTGGAACCAATGAAGCAGCGAAGGTACAAAAACTCCCTTCTGACTCTCCCATTACTGAACAGCGCTGCGAAGACATAGGTTGATAAAGATTGTGGTACATTTGCTGTTGGGTGTTTTATAGCATCATTTCAAGGCTTGGTGGAGACATGGGAGTAAGTTTTCAAAGAAGGGAAAAACTGCTAGAAAATCTTCTACACATTCGCTTTACTGTTCTAGTGATGCTAACGTGCCTCCTCCACTCAAATACTCCATCAAGCATTCAAACCATCAAACGCCTTGACCACGTCTTCTTTCTGTCCGATATGAATCTCAAAGCCGACCTGGCGCACCCCTCACTGCTCGCAAAGTCAAATGAAAAGGATAAAGTCTTAGCCGTTTATCAAATCTTTGTGGGATGCGGGACGCATTCTTCTCCCATTCAGAATTGTAGTGGCTTATTGAATATTGGCCTATATAATGACTTGCGGGGGCCAGCTGATTAACAATGTGATTTTAGTGTGATATAATTACATAATAATTTGTAATTATAATAACATAATTACAAGTCAGTGTTATTATCTCCCGGACGAGTCTGGTACCAATCCGTCCCCGAAGGGTAGAAGAGTCGACCCGGCATTTGAGCCCAGGACCGCAGGAGAGGTGAGCGCGCTACTTTTCACTATACCACCTCCTACCCATGGAAGTCGTTGATAAAAAGGATAAGTGAAAAAAATGAGTTCAAAGAACTGGTCAACTAATTCGTGCCGATCCTTAATGATGACTTCTCCATTCTCCATGAGGGATTGTATTTGAAGAGAGGAGATAAGAACGGATTCTCAGCCCATAGGTATAAAGGGTTGCGAGTTTGGGGTAAACAACAGATTTTTCCAGCGCTACCACCCCCAGCCCTAAGCTGTTGCCTAGTGTCGACCATCAGCCTTCCCTAATTTAAAAGTTGCATGCAACTTCGTATTCGGGTATGAGTAAAACGTTCAGAACCCCTACACAACGATAAGACGAGCAATGACGAAACAGCAATTCTCATATCAATGCTGGGCAGTAAAAGCCTCGACCACAGATTGTAAAAGGTGGCCCTGCTGATAAACGTAGAGCGCACTCACTCGGAAAGCGCGAGGTGCGGGTTTAGGCCCTGTCTACAGTCAGGACTTTTGTCCATATCCCAGCGTTGTTGTGAGAAGATGAAAAATAATGGTTTTCTTGACTTTCCTCATCTACGCTGAATTTAAAGCGGTTCTTAGCAGTTTGCCAAAGAATTTCAATTACAGATTTGAGAGGAGAGGGTGCAGAATTGGGAGCAAGTTCGGACTGGAGTATCGAGACAGTGATCGACTGGAAGAGAATTGTGTCGATGTATTACCAGATGAACGGCAAGACGAACGATACTGAAGAAGTCGAAGAACAACCGCATTAAATGCCATTTCGATTTGATAAAGAAGCTGTATAGATATATTCAGAAATAAATAACGTTCGCTACCCTTTTCAGGAATCGCTTCTGTGATCATCGAAACAAGAAACGTGTTTGGTTTACCACATCAATTGCCATTTGTAGAAACGTTTCGGTAACAACCATTTGAGAAGAACACGCTAGGAGAATATATTTATTTCTGAAAGAATAGGTAACTGCCATGTTCATGACCGAAAACGTGATGAAATGGCCGTTGATATATCTACACGTTAACTAAAAAGGCGGAGGTCCATTGATAAATTCGAGAGATGGATCAAAGCTTCTTGCGAAATTGTTCAATAATTGACAGCAGTACTCATCATCGCAGTGTGGAACTAGACATGCTGCTCCCAACAGCAGAACCAGCATTGCCTGGAAACAGTACGATTTCGTGGATTATGGGTAGGGGGGGGGGAGCTTTCAACAAATGATAACAAACCTGAAGAGGTAGTGCTGTACGTAAAACCCGTCTCCATCGCGATCTCTGACGATGGAATTGTGATGGGGCCACAAGGCCCGTACTTGTCTCTGGTAGGGGTGAGAGTAATCCGGAAGACGATCCGCCGATTGATTCCAACTCACTCTTCGAATCCGTATCCGATCCAATACCTTCAAATCCGTGTTCTGCGAGTACACTGTAAGGATGCTCTTCCGGATAAAGTGCGGCAAGGACGTCAGCAGCAGCATCGATATCGTACTCTTCGACAGCTGCTACTTCGTGAGCAGTTTGTGGGGTACGGCGAAGTGTTTCGAGAAGCTCTTGAGCACGCTGCATCAGCAGATCTAAGCTCATTGATGTATTGCTCTCAATGAATTGTCGACCTTGTGTACTACGTTCGACAATCACTTTTTGGTTCTCCAAATGTGCAATGATGTCCTGGAGAAGCGATTCGTGACTCTGCAATTGCACATATTGAAATTAAATACAACCGAAATGAACAGTTTGAAATAGCAACAATTTCCCGCGCTGGTAATCATTATCTAAAGAGATAACTTACTGAATAAACCAAGTTTCACCCTAGTTCAATGGCAAACTTATCACGATCTTTTTTCGGGTTACTCGTGTCCACCATTGATTGTTAGTATAGCAGTCTGGTGGGGAGAGCGAATGATAGGCTCTCGCTGAAGACAGCCCCCGCGCTCAAGTACTCTGTGGTAGTCTTTCCTAAAGCAAGTCTTCCAGCTCCCTAGCTAAAAAGTTGTCCTACTTTCGTGACCCCACCGTGAGCGAGAAGGTTTCTACAGCCCCCGAAGATTCTAGTTCTAACACCCGCTCAGGTGGACCGCCCACTTGCTAGATGCCCTCTCCACATCTGACGCAGGGCCGCTCAGTTGTTCTCTGTTGAGGCGGCGGGCATTAATGCATGTCCATTTTACTGACCGTACTCGTCCATGAGTAATTCTGCTCTCCTTTATCACGTTTTATTTATTGTGAGCACATATGTACAGTCAACCGGAACCCATTTCGCAAGGTAAGGCACATTGTAATCATCGGTGATGCAGTTTTTTTTTGATGCAAAAGCTCGACTGCGCTGAAAGATGCGCGCTACGGTAATCCTGAATTCGTGCGCTAAAACTCTGCGGATAAATTCAGGAATACAGTAACGCGCATCTTTCAGCGGCCAAGGGTTCTAGTTCTAGCAATCGCTCACTTGGACCGCCCACTTGCTAGATGTATTCTCTACACCTGACACAGGGCCGCTCGTTGTTCTCTGTTGAAAGAAAAGAACACGAAAAACAAACGTAGACGGAAAACTCGTGACAAAAAGACAAAGGGTTTGTTTTTGTCACGAGTTATCCGTCGGTGTTTGTTTTCCATGGTATTTTCTTTGCATTGGATGATGTTTATTACTGCGAGACGCGGAAAAGCGATTTGTGAGCCAGGGGTTGCACAGACTGCAGGGCGGTGTCACTGTCAGGTAGCGATTCTGTTTTTAGTGTTCTTGAAGATTCTCCTTCCTTCCTTTCCTTTACTGCTTCTTAACTGACAATCCATGACACTTAATCGAGGGAACTGTCTTTAAAGACAATTTCCGCGATCAAGTGACCCTTGAAATGCCCTTGTGCATTTGGTGCAGGAAGTGCACCATTTTCGTCACACAAGCGTGTAAGATAAAGCCATAAGAGACGCGGGACAATTCGCTAATTTTATGTTGGAGAGACAACGACTTACACCGCTATGTACCGCGCGTGTGGCCTGGCACCGTAGAGCGATCCCATGCTCTCGTCACAGCGAATGGTGAAGTATAAACTTTTTTTCCAATTCGTTGGTCGTGCCGCTTTCACAGGATATCTTCTTTGGAAATAAGCAAGCAACAGCAGACCACTTCACAAGGCAACTTGCGTTTTAGCGAGGTTCAAGGTTCACCAGCAATAGAATTGCAATAATTCGAGAATTCGTCGAGCATTTCTTACCGGTTAGTCCTAATATCATGCACAGAGCTTTCCAAAGCTACTTCCTATTCAATGTTTTGTTTCCTTTCTTTTGTAGTGTTTTAGATGGAATTTAGGGGTGGAAGATGTGAATCAAAGCACCGTGAGCGTGGGGTTGCACAGAGAACCCAAGGCGTCGGTCTACCAGCAAGTCCAGAGAACTCGTGCAATAAGGCTGTGTGACAAGTAGGACGCGTTTTATCTCAGGCCTCCTAGAGATGCCTTTTTGCGTTTTGCTTCACTAGGTGGGAAGGGCACTCGTCGACCACTAGTTCTCCACTGAACACTCACTATGCATAATACTTGATTGCGAGAATTGCCTTTACGAGCAGGCCAAATGGCAAAACTCCCTGCGGAACAGGTGCTACTAAGTTGTGGCTAAGAGTTCCGGTGCTAACGCAGTTGAGTTGGGTCACGAGGCGCCTCTGCAGCTCTTACACTAAGGAAGTTCCCGGGATCAAGTAGTCCTCAAAGTGCCTCTGTGCATTCGGCACTGCATTCGCAAAGAATGCACCTTTTTCGTCGCCCGAAATAGCGAGATAAAGAGACTAACAGACACGTGATTATTGCAACCACTGCGACGACGATTACTTCCACCTGCTGACTGAGCTTGCCGACGTCGGACAAACTCGCACAAGGCGCCGGTTCCACCCTTGTTCTGTTCATGATATTCCCAAGGTTTCTTTCGCTTCTCCTCTACTGGGGAGTTACTTATGGGCTACTGATTCATGATTGAGTGCCTACTACCCGTAGAACCTGATCGCGAGAATTGTCTTCAACCAACTCCTAGGGGAGGGGGGGGGCAGTTGGTCTAGTCGCCGTGCGGTTTTACCTCAGGGTAGAGCCCCTACGAGACTCTGACCGTCTGTGCTCTGAGCCCAAGCCTTGGCTAGACAGCACCAAAACTTCATCTCTGCGAAACTGAGGGATGCTCATTTGGTGAGGAGAAGGGAGAAGGCAAACGCTAGCGCGACCATCTCATGCTGTTTTCTGCTTGTCTACTTCCTCTTAGCAGGGAAGTGTTGCTTCGGTGGTCTGCCGCCGTCCAACTTAGTTTCAGAGTCTAACAGAATAGTTGTGGGCTTGGACTCGCCCGCTACCACTCCCAGCTACCATGCCACCAAGCAAGTTATATACCATTTTCACTTTGAATTCACCTCTTTTCAAACTAAATCCACCCTCACTTTTATCAAATTAACCACATTTATTAGACCGGGCAACTCATCAACCAAATCGCGCCAGACACCACTGCGAAACCCCGCCCCGACGGCCACGCCTACTTGTCAGCGCGGACATAGCTTTCCAAATCTTGTTTCCTAACTTCTGCTTTTCCTGTTTCCCAGAGACACTGACTGGCACACACATGGCCGACTCCGCCCGTTCTCTGAAGGGTTCTTGGCTCCGCCACCTTGACCACGCCCACTTTTTCGCGTTTTGATATTTTTTCAAAATTTTTGCCTTTTAGGGCTGCTGCTAGAAGTCCCGCCCACTCTGTGGGGATCCGCCCACTTTGAAAAAGCCCGCCCACTTTTCAAACATTGCGCAAATCGGCAGTATCGGGTCTTGGCTTTCATGCTAGGGTCTCGTTCGTCACTCGGAACAATAAAATCAGGCAAAGTTTGTTCCGAATGATAAGCAATACCCTAGCATGCGGGGCTAGACTCTATACTGCCAATTTGCACAAGTTTCGAAAAGTGGGCGGAGCCTCTCACAGTGGGCGGGGCTTCACGCAGCAGCTCCAAAATGCAAAAATTTTGAAAAAATATCAAAATCCCGCGAAAAGCAGTGGGCGTGGTCAAGGGGGTGCCAAGAACCTTTTAGAGAACGGGCGGAGTCGGCCGTGTCAATGCCCGGTCGCTTCCAAAGTCTGTGGGAAACAGCAAAGGATAAGAAAAGTCACATAAGCAGAAGTTATGAAACAAGATTTGAAAATCTATGTCCGCGCTGACAAGTAGGCGTGGCCGTCGGGGCGGGGCTCGCTTGGTGTCTGGCGTGATCTGGGTGGTGAGTTGTGAAGTGGTGAATTTGTTTTGAAAAGGAGTGAATTTGGTTCGAAAAGTAGTGAATTTAAAGTAAAAACGGTAAATACACCATTTTCACTTCAAATTGGACACTTTTCAAACCAAATGGGACACTCTCAAACCAAAACGGACAATTTTCAAGCCAAATCGGACACCTTTTCAATCAAAACGGACTTTTCAAATCAAATGAGACACTTTTCAAATCAAAATTGACACTTTTCAAATCAAATCGGACATACCCCTTACAATAGGCAGTTGATAACTAGACCACACTAGGTACTGCTGCAAGCCCCGCCCCAATATCCCACGCCCACTTCTCAGCGCGTTCACGTTTTTCCAAAATCTTTTATAAAGTCTGCTCCTTCGATTTTTTTTCACTTTTGCTAGTTGCACACACATTTCAACTGAAAAGTATTGGTAACGATATAGACGCAGCCCACTTCTCAGTGAAGTGACCGCAAATTTTGACTTTCGTAACTTTTTCGGACGTTGTTCGTTTCACATTCGGTCTTCACAAAAAGAATATACTAATAGCCGCAGTGCATTTATACACTAGCACACTATGCCTCGCCCCTCTGACCATGCCCACTTTTGTATTTTTTTGCGGAACTTTGATCTTTCTTCCGAATTTTAGCTTTCTTAGGCTGTAAGAAGTGGCTCCGCCCATTTTGTAGAAGCCTCGCCCACTTTTGAAAAATGATGCAAATTGACAAGCTGGAGTCCGTATTGGCAGGTTATGTCCTCTCCTGTCACACAGCACGAGAATAAAAGCGGAACTTCATCCCGAGTGATGGGAGAGGCCATACTCGCCAGCACGGACTCCAGCTTGTCGATTTGCACCATTTTTCAAAAAGGCGAGGCTTCTACTAGTGGGCGGACCTACTTTACATAAAAAAGCGAAAATTCGGAAGAAAAATCAAAATTCCGCGAAAAACACAAGAGTGGGCGTGGCCAGATGCTGGTCTATAAAAGCGGTACGGCTACTAGTATATTCGTTTTGTGAAGATTGAATGTGAGAACGACGTCGGGAAACGTTATGAAACTCAAAACTCGCGGTAACTTCATTGAGAAGTGGGCGGAGTTAGATCTGTATCGGTACCAACCTTTTTCAAATGAAGTGTCTGTACAACTAGCAAAAGTGAAAAAAGTCAAAGGAGCAGATTTCATAAAACATTTTGGAAAACCGTGAACGCGCTGAGAAGTGGGCGGAGAGTTGGGACGGGGCTTGCAGTAGTACCTATTGTGGTCTAGTTACCAACTGCCTACTGTAAGGGGTATGTCCGATTTGATTTGAAAAGTGTCAATTTTGATTTGAAAAGTGTCTCATTTGATTTGAAAAGTCCGTTTTGATTGAAAAGGTGTCCGATTTGGCTTGAAAAGTGTCCGATTTGGTTTGAAAACTGTCCGAGTTTAAACATCATGAGGAAAAATAAGAATCTTACTATGCGATCTTTTAGTCCATCGGCGGTTGTCAACTCTTCGCTGCATTGATTGAGTTCAGTGGTGAGAATTTCGAGAGTGCGGTTTAGCTGTGCCTCGGCAGTGAGCTCGGCAGCAACTCTCTCCGTGATCTCCTGCAAAAGGAGAGTATACTGCGTGAAATTAAATCTGATTATTTCGATAGGAACTGAGATGTGGGAACTCCGTCACCTCGTAGTTTTTCTCCGTATTTTCTTGATCAACAGTAAAGAAGCGTATGTCCTGTTGCGCTTGCAAAAGCGGACGCAATTGCAGCGAAAGTTCATTCATCTGCTTCTCGGCAGTGCGAAGCCGCTCGATGTCACTGTACATGTCCTGAAACGATCATAAGTAATCGCAATATACTTTTCGCAGAAAAAGATGTCAGGACTAAATATTACTTTCAAATAAGTCAGAAGGGCTTCTCCTTCCGACGTGTTTAGAAGCGCGGCTCCTGGTTGTAATCGCGGAAGATTTGCATCCACAGACTCTAACATTCTGGCAGCATCATCTCTGACTTTCATGAATGTATTCCAAATGTTGGCACGTTCATGTAGAACAGGAATAACCCTCTCAGCGGAATTGAGTGCAGCTTCGAGCAAATTCACGGAAGGATGGACGGCGGGTGCGTCCCTTAAAAGTTCACCAGCTTTTTTGCACTCATTGATCAGTTCTTCAGCAGTCGGCCTATAGTGTGTTGGTAATCCTTCAGGATCTGCTAGCAAGCGATCGGCACCATTGACGAGTTCAACAAGGCGAATAGACACTGGAGTAATGGCGTTCCTCAATGCTTCATCAGCCTCGCGTCGAGCTCTTTCTATTTCGATGTTACTTCGACGTTGCTGAAAGCACTATATCAATCACACGCATACTACGACAACGAAAATCCCGCTGTAAGTTGCAAAACGTGATAAAGTCTGAATGAATTTTTCTTCGAACCATGCAAATAACTGGTTAATGCCTAACAAGACTAGTTAGAGGAATCTCCAAAACTCGAATTTTCAGCTAGCACTCGCGTTGGAAAATTGTTGGTGGGAAGCACGTACGATTAGCATCCCTTGCAAGTAGTATTCCTATGGAAGATGTTACCACATAGGAATTATTAGTGCAAGCACACTTTTGGGGTTTCACAGAAAAAAAAACAAGATGTTTGAATGCTGATACCAGACCTAAGAATCAACTGTACATACCTCCGCGGGACCCAGCGTCCTACCCATGTGCGAGATGAAGGGTCTGCGGCTCAGGATACAGCATCATGATGTGAGCGGTGATGGCGTAGGTACGACCCCCCTCCGAGAAAGGATGTCAGTACGACCCCCTCCCCCAACGTCTGCCCAAAAATTTCCCATATTCTCCAGTTTCTTCACCCAAAAATGTTCCGACAAGCGGGGGAGAGGGTATATAGTACACATAAAAGAGGAAAAATCACGCAAAAAGTCAATAACCGGGAAACCAACGCGACAAAGTTCTCTCAAAGACACGTGTGACCCTCTTCCCTCTCCCAACAACCAAATACGACCCTTTCCCTAGAGAAAAAGTACGACCCCCTATGGTTTCACACAACGATGCTGTACCCTGGCGCTGTTTCACGATCTGGCACACGTGTTTCACGGCTAACTATAACCAGAGGCACTACCTTCTGTGCTTTCGAAGTTCTCATTGAGCGTTTTCTTTACAATTCTGGAAACGACGCAAGTGATCACGTTGAGGATAGCGCGAGCGGTGCCTGGAAATGCATATGGGTATCAGTACCCTTCCGCCCCGTTATTGCGCACTGTTGTGCGGTAAGTAGCACGCTACTGCACGGATCCATTCACATCATCCGTTCATGTTAATCATGTATTGCATCACAAAAAAGTGGGGGTGCGGCTTCACGGTACATACCTATTTCATCATGTTGGTGTATACGGCTAATGCCTGGAATATCTCCCATTGGTGACATGGTCAACGCCGCCTATACAGTAGCATCATATTTATTACTTTCAACACCAGTACCATCCATGCTGCCGCGGTAAAGAGCATTGATTAAGCGCACAGATGAGATATACCATTTTCACTTTAAATCGGGCACTCTTCAAACCAAATCGGACACTTTTCAAACCAAATTGGGCACTTTTCAAACCAAATCGGACACTTTTCAAACCAAATCAGACACTTTTCAAATCCAATCGGACACTTTCCAAACCAAATCGGACACTTTTCAAACCAAATCAGACACTTTTCAAATCCAATCGGACACTTTTCAAACCAAATCGGCCACTTTTCAAATCAAATCGGATACTTTTCAAACCAAATCGGACACTTTTCAAATCAAATCGGACACACCCCTTACAATTAGGTAGTTGATAACTAGACCACACTAGGTACTGTTGCAAGCCTGCCCCATTATCCCCGCCCACTTCTCAGCGCGGACAGGATTTCCCGAGATGCTTCATGAAGTCTGCTCCCTCGACTTTTTTTCGTTTTTGCCCTTTGCACACACACCTCAACTGAAAAAGACTGGTACCTATACAGATCTGACTCCGCCCACTTAACAATGAAGTTACGTAAGTGCTGAACTTTTATAACTTCTTTCGACGTAGTTCTTTTCACATCCAATCTTCACAAAACGATAACCACGCACAGCACTCCAGACCCCGCCCCTCTGACCCCGCCCACTTGTGTTTATCGCGGATTTTGGTTTTTCTTCCGGATTTTCGCTTTTTTAGGCTTTAGCGATTGGCTCCGCCCACCAATGATAGCTCCGCCCACTTTGGGGGAATCCCCTCATCCTTTTCAAAAAGGATGCAAATAGGCGGGCTAGTGTCCGTACTGGCGGATTACGGCCTCTTCCGTCGCTCAGAACAGAGTTTCCCTTTTTTTCGGTTTTCCCCTTTTTTTTGTTCTATCTGCCGGGAGAGGCCGTAATCCGGCAGTACGGACACCAGCCCGCCGATTTGCATCATTTTTGAAGAGTGGGCGGGGCTCCACCAAAGTGGGCGGAGCTTCCGTTGGTGGGCGGGGCCAATCGCTAAAGCCTAAAAAAGCGAAAATCCGGAAGAAAAACCAAAATCCGCGATAAACACAAGCGGGCGGGGTCGGGGCGGGCCTGGAGTGCTGTGCTTGGTTATTCGTTTTGTGAAGGTTTGATGTGAAAAGAACTAGGTCGAAAAAAAGTTATAAAAATTCAGAGCTTACGTAACTTCGTTGTTAAGTGGGCGGAGTCAGATCTGTATAGGTATCAATCTTTCTCAGTTGAAGTGTGTGTGCAAAGGGCAAAAGCGAAAAAAAAAGTCGAGGGAGCAGATTTCATGAAGCATCTCGGAAAACCCTGTCCGCGCTGAGAAATTATCGGGGTAATGGGGCGGAGCTTGTAACAGTACCTAGTGTGGTCTAGTTATCAACCACCTAACTGTAAGCGGCGGTCCGATGTGGTTTGAAAAGTGCCCGATTCGGTTTGAAAAGTGTCCGATTTGGTTTGGAAAGTGTCCGATTTGGTTTGAAAAGTGTCCGATTCAAAGTGAAAATGGTATATATGCCAGGCATTAACCGTTTATTCCAACACAACGAATAAGAAATGTGCGGCTATGCCAGGCCACAGAAAGGAGCGCCGGCATTAACCGGAGATTTAAATGGCATCATGTGTTTCTTTGGCAATCAATGGTGATTGAATGGAGGCGATGATGAGAGTCAGTTACATATTTGAGTCAATTTTCGCTGTAGTGCTCTCGCACAGAATATGGGTTCTTGTCATTCCTCTCCGATATCGGCGTAGCCCCTTTCCACTGCGTGTGTTCCCTCGTTTATCTCCCTGTCGCTCATTTTCATTTACTTTTCCCGGTCTTCAGGCTGGTATGAGGCAGAATTACGAATTTTTGAGTGTTGCCCCGTCCACTTCGGCGCGTGCATGTATTGAACCCTCTTCAGGTTCGCTAACCCCTTACTGATTTTAATCCACTTTTTCCACATCTCGGCAGTGCTCTGGAAGCAAACTACAATTTTTTTGGAATAAATACGCCATGCGTGAGGGCGCGCTTCGCCCGCTAAGGATGAAAGATTTCAACACACCACGGATTCGATCAATTCTCTTCAGATATTCCTCTTTCATCGACATCTTTGCGATTCCCACTCTCTCGAGGACCATGCTACGTAACTTAGGTTAGCGGCGAGTACCAGTTTAGGTCTCGCCCATTTTCCGATGTTTCTCCAAACTCAGTCTACCAATTTCCTGTCCACTTTTTCTCCCGAATTGGGAATAAAATACGAATTCTGCCTGCGATAACGCTCCCTTTCCCCGCATCCCCAGTTTACCACATCTTGACCTACACCCCGACCCGACCTCTACGCTGTTTTCCAGGTTAAATGCACCACATTTTCGAGCACACTCAACAAACAAACAAAGAATTAGCAAACCACGTTTGGCAGGGAAATATTATTTGTTCAGCGACACTCATACATTCAAGCACATAAGACTTGCTTGAGACAGTTTCCACTGGACATGCAAAGACTAATGTGGAACTAATCGACATACCTTCAAGATCGCAAGCAATCTGTCGATGCGATCAAGCAGAAGGGAATACTGATCGCGCTCCTCCTCATCCAGCTTGCTGCTGTCAATCTGATAAATATTTTGCTGAACTTTCTGAAGGGAAACCTCGTCTTTTTTCAGATCTTCCGGTGTTTTATCGTCACTGTCACGGCCAGCGATCGTATAAAGCTGATCTTCTGCATCTCTGCGAACAGAATCAAATGCAGCTAAGACGACCATTTTGTCTGCAACTGAATCACCAAGCCTCTTCAGAAGATCTTTCAGCCTCGACAAATCCCATTCGCTTCTCTGTCGCAGCTCTTCCGTCGCATCGCCAGCCGGTATCGTCTGTATGAGATTCTCAAGACGTTGCTTCTTTGTCTCGAGCTCCTCAAGTACTGATTGCTGATCATTGAGATTATGCGGTATTTCGTCCGGTTGTTGCTGTAGACTCTCAGAGATGAGAAGAATCTCAGGCGCAACAGCGTTCAACTGCGCGATTTGATCGATATCCTTCTTCTTCTCATCACATTCCTTCTGCATCTTCTCCACCTGTTCTGGAAGTGTCTTGTCAAGGTCATCGTGACTCACAACTGGTGACGGGCTGGTAGCAAATTGCTGACATGCATTTGCAACACCACTCAGCCGTTGTAATTCAGCATCAATTGATGCTATTTGTTGCTTTGCAGACTCCAAATTCTCAGGATCCACTCTTATCAAAGCATCTGCGATATTCGATAGTCGATCCTTGACTTCATCCTGCTGTTGACGTGCTTTCATTTCATCCGGTAAGGCTTTTCGCAAACTTGCCAATTGCCCCTAAAAAGTATTGCACTCTAAATATCTGGTCAAAGGAGAATTTCAAAAAGAAACAATATAGTATATTATAAATAAATAAAAGGAACGCGTTTCGTAGAAAAATCACCTTCACTTGTTCCTTGATGTTGTTCACATCTCGAGCCAATTGATTTCTTGGTGAAAGATCCTCTTGTGGAATGGAGTCGATTGCGAGAAGAACTGCTGACAGATCTTGTTCATCCTTAGTCACGTCATCGATAGGTGCAGGTAGATCACGAGTTTTCATTTTTCCACGACATTCATCGAGAACGTTTTGCAAATCAGCAGTCTTCTGTTCGAAATTCTTCATTTCTTGCACCTGATCATCTAATTTCCTGTTAATAATGTCGATCCTGTTTGAAAGATCATCCTTCTTTGGAAGCAAATCGACGGGAACATCAGCGATTGCATCGAGCTTGGAGAGCAGCTTTGGTGTTTTAGCTTGTTGGAAATCGATTAAATCGGATGAAGATGGTAAACGTTATCGGAACGATATTTTCCAGTTCTTCCACTTCACGTTGAATCTGTTCTAATGATTCGATGATGTTGTTGCGAGTATCACGATCAGTTAGCATCTTTTGCAGCTCTTCTTCATCACGTTTCGTGATATCGTCGATGGTTTTACTCATGTTCTCCACTTTATTGCCAATATTCTCATCAGCTAACAGATCCGGTGATAAAGTCGCTAAATTATCACGAGCGTCTCGCATACGTCCGAGATTGGCTTCAAGTGTCGCAATATCACGGGTAGATGGTAGCGTGGCGATCGCCTCCTCGATCATAGCCAGTCGTTCTTGTGCATCTCGGAGCTCATCATCATGTTGTTTCTTCGAGTTACGCATTTCGTCGATCTGTTTCTGTATTGGTTCTGCATTCTCACTCGGTAAAGCATGAATTTGTTTCTCGATATCATCCAACGATTTCTCCGATAGCTCGCGAATAGGAATCGATTGTAGTTCGTATATTTTGATAAGGAGTACTTCCTTAAGTCGATCCTGTTCGTCCTTCTCTGCAGATGATTTCGCATCACGGAGCAGCGCATCAACGAACCCATACGGTCGTTCAAAATCGACAAACGCGACGAATCGGGATCAACATGCTTACGACCGTGATACGCTTCATCATGTCTCTGTTCAAGCATTTGAAGTTGTGCTCGTAATGCTGGGATCTGGAACTGTTCAATATTTTCGATAGTCTCCTTTGTGGTTGTTTAGCAAGCGATTCACAAATGGCGTTCATTTCAGTGATGAAATGGTCGACAGATGCATAACAGATTTTCGTCTTCGATTTCACTCGACAACTCATTTAGCACATCATCGTACTGTTGTACTGTCTGTTCTGCGTCAACGTCAATGAACGAACGTCAGCGATAGGCTGTCCAAAGGATCGAGCAGTTCCGAGAGTTCTTGAAGTCGACGAACCTTTCCATCGAGTATGTGAGATTTTTGTCGTTCGCAGATATTACATCAAAGTCAACCTTTGCATCATTTATTGTTCTTCGTGGTTTCGCCAGCACATCATCAAGTGGTTTCCTCAATTTGTCCAATTCAACATCCGCTTCATCCCTCACTTTTACAAACTCATCCCAGTTATTTGCACGCTCCTCTAGAATTGGTATCATGTTTTCAGCGGATGAGAGGGCAGTTTCTAAAGATTCCACCGATGGATGATTCTTTGGAGCGTTCCGTAGAAGTTCAACAGCTTTCTTGCATTCAGTGGTCAGTTCTTCAGCACTCGGTCTATACTGTGCTGGCACTCCTTCGGCATCTCCCAATAAACGATCAGCATCATTGACAAGTTGAACAAGACGACTTGACACTGGAGTGATCGCATCTCTTAGCGCTTCGTCGGCCGTGCGTTGGGCGATCTCAGCTTCTATATCGCTTCGACGTTGCTGAAATCACCATATGCTCACATCTTATACATGAACCTATTATTAGTCCAATTCACTGAAAAAATCCTAAATTCCGAACGAACATTAATATGGTTCGCTCATCTCGCATACACTAAGAAAATTCTGCCAAAATCTGCTCTTTATAAAAGTCCAGTACTCGCTGCAATCACTTTCAATCTAAAAGCCATTCATCTCATCTCATCCCATCTCATTTACTCACAAACCCACATGTGCACCGAAATAATTTTCAAAAAACAAGAGATTAACGAAAAACACACACCCATACCTACAAATTCTTCATCACCTCCGTACTCACACATCACATTTACTCACATTCATACCGAGAATTACTTGTTTAACTGGCTATATAAAAGGGAAAGGAAGAATCTCAGCCCAATAAGGTACCTTTAAGATGGCTAGCGTCTTCATAATGCGATCGAGTAGTTGAGCATGCTCTTCACGCTGTTCATCATCCAGATCGCTACTGTCAAGTTGAGAAATGCTTTGCTGAAGCCGTTGAAGTGAATCTTCGTCCTTTTTCAGATCTTCAGGTGTTCTATCGTCGGTTTCAGGACTGGTGATCACCAACAGTTGATCTTCTGCATCTTTTCGTGCAACATTGAATGCAGCCAATGCAGCCAGTTTATCTCCAACTGAATCACCAAGCCTCTTCAGAAGATCTTTCAGCCTCGACAAATCCCATTCGCTTCTCTGTCGCAGCTCTTCCGTCGCATCGCCAGCCGGTATCGTCTGTATGAGATTCTCAAGACGTTGCTTCTTTGTCTCGAGCTCCTCAAGTACTGATTGCTGATCATTGAGATTATGCGGTATTTCGTCCGGTTGTTGCTGTAGACTCTCAGAGATGAGAAGAATCTCAGGCGCAACAGCGTTCAACTGCGCGATTTGATCGATATCCTTCTTCTTCTCATCACATTCCTTCTGCATCTTCTCCACCTGTTCTGGAAGTGTCTTGTCAAGGTCATCGTGACTCACAACTGGTGACGGGCTGGTAGCAAATTGCTGACATGCATTTGCAACACCACTCAGCCGTTGTAATTCAGCATCAATTGATGCTATTTGTTGCTTTGCAGACTCCAAATTCTCAGGATCCACTCTTATCAAAGCATCTGCGATATTCGATAGTCGATCCTTGACTTCATCCTGCTGTTGACGTGCTTTCATTTCATCCGGTAAGGCTTTTCGCAAACTTGCCAATTGCCCCTAAAAAGTATTGCACTCTAAATATCTGGTCAAAGGAGAATTTCAAAAAGAAACAATATATGTATATTATAAATAAATAAAAGGAACGCGTTTCGTAGAAAAATCACCTTCACTTGTTCCTTGATGTTGTTCACATCTCGAGCCAATTGATTTCTTGGTGAAAGATCCTCTTGTGGAATGGAGTCGATTGCGAGAAGAACTGCTGACAGATCTTGTTCATCCTTAGTCACGTCATCGATAGGTGCAGGTAGATCACGAGTTTTCATTTTTCCACGACATTCATCGAGAACGTTTTGCAAATCAGCAGTCTTCTGTTCGAAATTCTTCATTTCTTGCACCTGATCATCTAATTTCCTGTTAATAATGTCGATCCTGTTTGAAAGATCATCCTTCTTTGGAAGCAAATCGACGGGAACATCAGCGATTGCATCGAGCTTGGAGAGCAGCTTTGGTGTTTTAGCTTGTTGGAAATCGATTAAATCGGATGAAGATGGTAACGTTATCGGAACGATATTTTCCAGTTCTTCCACTTCACGTTGAATCTGTTCTAATGATTCGATGATGTTGTTGCGAGTATCACGATCAGTTAGCATCTTTTGCAGCTCTTCTTCATCACGTTTCGTGATATCGTCGATGGTTTTACTCATGTTCTCCACTTTATTGCCAATATTCTCATCAGCTAACAGATCCGGTGATAAAGTCGCTAAATTATCACGAGCGTCTCGCATACGTCCGAGATTGGCTTCAAGTGTCGCAATATCACGGGTAGATGGTAGCGTGGCGATCGCCTCCTCGATCATAGCCAGTCGTTCTTGTGCATCTCGGAGCTCATCATCATGTTGTTTCTTCGAGTTACGCATTTCGTCGATCTGTTTCTGTATTGGTTCTGCATTCTCACTCGGTAAAGCATGAATTTGTTTCTCGATATCATCCAACGATTTCTCCGATAGCTCGCGAATAGGAATCGATTGTAGTTCGTATATTTTGATAAGGAGTACTTCCTTAAGTCGATCCTGTTCGTCCTTCTCTGCAGATGATTTCGCATCACGGAGCAGCGCATCCAACGAACCCATACGGTCGTTCAAAATCGACAAACGCGACGAATCGGGATCAACATGCTTACGACCGTGATACGCTTCATCATGTCTCTGTTCAAGCATTTGAAGTTGTGCTCGTAATGCTGGGATCTGGAACTGTTCAATATTTTCGATAGTCTCCTTTGTTGGTTGTTTAGCAAGCGATTCACAAATGGCGTTCATTTCAGTGATGAAATGGTCGACAGAATCGCATAACAGGCTTTCGTCTTCGATTTCACTCGACAACTCATTTAGCACATCATCGTACTGTTGTACTGTCTGTTCTGCGTCAACGTCAATGAAACGAACGTCAGCGTAGGCGCTGTCCAAAGGATCGAGCAGTTCCGAGAGTTCTTGAAGTCGACGAACCTTTCCATCGAGTATGTGAGATTTTTGTCGTTCGGCAGATATTACATCAAAGTCAACCTTTGCATCATTTATTGTTCTTCGTGGTTTCGCCAGCACATCATCAAGTGGTTTCCTCAATTTGTCCAATTCAACATCCGCTTCATCCCTCACTTTTACAAACTCATCCCAGTTATTTGCACGCTCCTCTAGAATTGGTATCATGTTTTCAGCGGATGAGAGGGCAGTTTCTAAAGATTCCACCGATGGATGATTCTTTGGAGCGTTCCGTAGAAGTTCAACAGCTTTCTTGCATTCAGTGGTCAGTTCTTCAGCACTCGGTCTATACTGTGCTGGCACTCCTTCGGCATCTCCCAATAAACGATCAGCATCATTGACAAGTTGAACAAGACGACTTGACACTGGAGTGATCGCATCTCTTAGCGCTTCGTCGGCCGTGCGTTGGGCGATCTCAGCTTCTATATCGCTTCGACGTTGCTGAAATCACCATATGCTCACATCTTATACATGAACCTATTATTAGTCCAATTCACTGAAAAAATCCTAAATTCCGAACGAACATTAATATGGTTCGCTCATCTCGCATACACTAAGAAAATTCTGCCAAAATCTGCTCTTTATAAAAGTCCAGTACTCGCTGCAATCACTTTCAATCTAAAAGCCATTCATCTCATCTCATCCCATCTCATTTACTCACAAACCCACATGTGCACCGAAATAATTTTCAAAAAACAAGAGATTAACGAAAAACACACACCCATACCTACAAATTCTTCATCACCTCCGTACTCACACATCACATTTACTCACATTCATACCGAGAATTACTTGTTTAACTGGCTATATAAAAGGGAAAGGAAGAATCTCAGCCCAATAAGGTACCTTTAAGATGGCTAGCGTCTTCATAATGCGATCGAGTAGTTGAGCATGCTCTTCACGCTGTTCATCATCCAGATCGCTACTGTCAAGTTGAGAAATGCTTTGCTGAAGCCGTTGAAGTGAATCTTCGTCCTTTTTCAGATCTTCAGGTGTTCTATCGTCGGTTTCAGGACTGGTGATCACCAACAGTTGATCTTCTGCATCTTTTCGTGCAACATTGAATGCAGCCAATGCAGCCAGTTTATCTATATTCATCCAACTGAATCACCAAGCCTCTTCAGAAGATCTTTCAGCCTCGACAAATCCCATTCGCTTCTCTGTCGCAGCTCTTCCGTCGCATCGCCAGCCGGTATCGTCTGTATGAGATTCTCAAGACGTTGCTTTCTTTGTCTCGAGCTCCTCAAGTACTGATTGCTGATCATTGGAGTTATTCATAA